ATTATTATAAAATTATTATAAAATTATTATAAGGTACAATTTTAATAATTGTATTAATATTGTTAAGATGATCTTAATTTTATTGAAAAAAATAGCTAGTTTCTGTAAAGTATAGATGATTATACCACTACTTTAATTGAGTTATATAGAAGAGTTAAACATGATGGCTTTAATTTTCCTAAAGCTCTTAAAGCTCGAAGATTTGTAAATGGACTATTGCCTGAACTTTACCTTAATATTAAGCCTCACAATGACCAAACTTGGGATAGTACTATTAATAGAGCAAAAGCTTATAAACTTACTTATCAAGATTACAATGCAGTGAGCTCTTATTTTAACAAATATGCTTCTCCTACTACCAACACTCAAACGGATATTTTGAATCAAGCAATTCAAATTTAACTCAACAAATTTAACAACTAAATTTGGAAAATAGATATAATAATTCAAGAAACAATTATCAAAATCCTCAATCGAATGTTTATTTAAGACCACAGCAATACAGCAATCTCAGCAAGCTTCTGTTTGATCTACTTATATCAACACATTTGTATGTTATCAGTGTGAATAACCTGGACATACAAGAAGAAATTGCTCTCAATTACAAACAGGAATATTCTCTATTGCAATCCTTACAACTAATTCCTTATCAACTATAAGCAACACTATACCTCAAGCTCAAACTCAAACACAAGCTCAAGCTCAAGCACAACCCTAACATCAAGCTACACAACTTCTTCACCTTTTGGCTCAACTTATTTCTCAAGATAATAATGGATTGGTACAACAACCTATTTATCAGATCTCAATACAACCACAACAACCTATATATGCACCACACATTCTATCACAAGTTCAATCTCAACCTTAACCCCAAGTACCAATTCAATCTTTGATTTAGCTACAAGTCTAGTTACAACAACCTTTAAACTAAAAGGCCAATGTTTGAAAGGTAATATTGCTGGCCCTTTTTCAATTTCTTCAAATATTGTATTTCTAGATACCTATTTTGCAAAAAGACAAAGAACAGAAGAAATTACAAAAAAGCAAGAAGAAAAACAAGACAAGAGTAGAGAAAAAGTAATAAAAACAACAAAAACTAAAAAGAAGAAACAGCCATTATTACTACCAGTTCATTATATAATTAAGCCCTATACACCTTAGCAATTCTTTAATCAGGCAGCAAATATTACAAATAGACAATTATTAGCTATAAACCCCAAATTTAGCCAAGTAGTTATTAAACACTTAAAGAAGCCAATAGTAAAAAAGATAGATCAAGCCAACTTGGAAACAAAATTAGATAATAGAGAGCAAAAACTAAAAGAATCAAAAGTAACAGCATCATTAACCAACAAAATCAACCTATGGAGAAACTTGTATTTTAAACCCAGAATGAACATTTTATAGCTTTTTACTGTAATGCTTCTATTAAACATATTCGCTTTCCTCTTATTATTAATTTAGGATCTGCTAGCAATATTATGTCTCTTAACTTGTTAAAGGATTTAAATATAGAAATTATACAAGCTTCAAAAATAGTAATAATTAATAGAAGGCCTCTTGGAGCAGTAACTGATATTTCTTTAAAAGTTAGAGAATGTCTTATACCTTTTGATACTATTATTATGGAATCCAATTTTTATAGTGCTATAGTAGGAAATGATTGGTTATGGAAAACGAAAGCAACTATAAATTATAATAAGAATATCATGCATGATCTTATATTGGGATAACCAAACTATTGAAGTACCTGTTGAATCAAAGCAAGCTCTATATCATGAAGTCAATATTGAAGCTCCTGAAATAAAAAAGAAAAAAGAAGAGGATAAAGTAATTATTGAGGATAGTAATGATAAGGATAAAAGCAAAGAGGAATATGAATCTGATATTGAAACACCAGAAGATGAAAGTTTATTTTATTATGCAGAAGAAGCTGAAAGAATTGAAAAGAAGATCATTAAACAAGTATATGAAAGAGAATTCTATTTTCAGGAAAATAATAAATCAGAAGAAATCAAAAAGGTAGTTTACAATTTTGGAGAACTAAAAGATAATCAAGTTCATGTCTTTACTAAATTCATGAAGAATTATAAGAATCTATTTGTTTGGAAACCTTATAAATTTGGACAAACCAAAGTTCTATCTCATGCTATACAAACTGATGGACCTCCTATTAAGCAGAACTTTTATTGAACATCTTACAAGAACCAAAAATTTATTGAGCAAGAAATAAAAGAAATGCTAAAATAAGAATTGATTAAACCTTCAAATAGCCCTTGGACCTCTTCTGTAGTTGTTGTTGAAAAGAAAAATAGAAAGCTATGATTATGTGTAAACTACAGAAAATTGAATGCAGTTACTAAAAAGGACAATTATCCATTACTATGAATTGATAATATGCTAGAGGCTTTAGCATATTCAAGATGGTTTACTTCTTTGGACATGGCTAGTGGATTTTGGCAGATATCTATAAACTCTCAAGATTAAAAAAAAACTGTATTTATTACATGATTTGGTACTTACGAGTTTACAGTTATGCCTTTTGGATTATGCTACTTTTCAATGACTTATGGACAATATACTATGAGATCTACTTTGGAAATTTGTTGTAGTATATATTGATGATATTAATATAGAATCAAAACCATTTGAAAAGCATTTGGATCATTTAAAAGAAGTCTTTACTTGTATTAAAAATGCTGGACTTAAGCTTAATCCTGAAAAATGTTTCTTTTTTAAAAAGAAACTTCCTTTTTTTAGACATATCATTAGTAAAGATGGAATTCAAACAGATCTAGAAAAATTAAAGCAGTACAGAATTTCTTTATACCTTGAAATACTACTTAACTGTGAGGATTTTTAGGATTAGCTTTATATTACTAAAAATTCATTAAGGATTTTTCCAAAATTGCTGAACCTTTGAATCAATTGCTAAAAAAGAAAATGAACTATATCTGGACTACAGACTAACAAAATGTATTTCAAAAACTAAAACAATATCTTACTACATTACTCATCTTGGCTTATTCTAATTTTGAAAAACTATTCATTATATATACTGATGTATTAACAATTGGGCTTGGAGCAATTCTAGCACAAAAAGATAATAATAATAGAGAACATATTATATCCTATACAAGTCGATTACTTAATATCTATGAGAAGAACTATTCAATTACTGAACTAAAGTATTTAGTAGTAATTTAGGCTATTAAACATTTTCATCATTATTTGCATAGACAAAGTTTACTATAATAATGGACCATGCTAGGACCCCGAACATCTCTCATAGGTCATACTTGCACTTTAGCAAAAAGTCAAAAATTTGGCCTAAAGTCCAATTTTTAGTTTTAGCAAATTAATAA